CTGGGCTAGGCTGGGGGACACCACACTGGTCACTGATGGCCGGGCTAGCCTGGGAACCACCCCACCAGTCATAGATATCTGGGCTTGGCTGGGGGGCACCGCACTGGTCACAGATGCTCGGGCTAAGCTAGGGACCACCCCACCGGTCATAGATGCCTGGGCTAAGCTAGGGGCCACCCCACCTGTCATAGATGCCTGGACTAGGCTGAGGGACACCCCACCAGTCACAGATGCCTGGGCTAGGCTAGGAACCACCCCACCGGTCATAGATATCTGGGTTTGGCTTGGGGCCACCGCACTGGTCACAGATCCCCGGGCTAAGTTAGGGGCCACCCCATCAGTCATAGATGCCTGGGCTAGGCTGGGGGACACCACACTGGTCACAGGTGGCTGGGCTGGGCTAGGGGCCACCCCACTGGTGATAGATGCCTGGGCTAGGCTGGGGGCTACCCCAGCAGTCAGAGATGGCTGGGCTAGGCTAGGGGCCACCCCACTGGTCATGGATGCCTGGGCTAGGCTGGGGGCCACCCCACCAGTCATAGATGCCTGGGCTCGGCTGGGGGCTACTCCACTGGTCACAGATGGCCGGGCTAAGCTGGGGGCCACCCCACTGGTCACAGATGCTTGGGCTAGGCTGGATGCCACCCCACTGGGCACAGATAACCGAGCTAGGCTGGGGACTACCCCACTGGTCATAGATGCCTGAGCTAGGCTGGGGGCCACCACACTGGTCACAGGTGGCTGGGCTGGGCTAGGGGCCACCCCACTGGTCATAGATGCCTGGGCTAGGCTGGGTGCTACCCCAGCAGTCAGAGATGGCTGGGCTAGGCTAGGGGCCACCCCACTGGTCATGGATGCCTGGGCTAGGCTGGGGGCTACCCCACCGGTCACAGATGCCTGGGCTAGGTTGGAGGCCACCCCACTGGTCATAGATGCCCGTGCTAGGCTGGGGGCCACCCCACTGGTCACAGATAGCCGGGCTAGGCTAGGGGCCACCCCACCGGTCACAGATGCCTGGGCCAGGTTGGAGGCCACCCCACTGCTCACAGATAGCCGGGCTAGGCTAGGGGCCACCGCACCAGTCATAGATGCCTGGGGTAGGCTGGGGGCCACCCCACTGGTCATAGAGAGCCGGCTTAGGCTGGGAGCCACCCCACCTGTCACAGATGGCCGGGCTAGGCTGGGGGCCACCCCACTGGTCATGGATGCCTGGGCTAGGCTGGGGGCCACCCCACCTGTCACAGATGGCCGGGATAGGCTGGAGACAACTGCACCGGTCACAGATGCCCGTGCTAGGCTGGGGGCCACCCCACTGGTCACCGATGCTCGTGCTAGGCTGGGGGCCACCACACTAGTCAGAGATGCCTGGGCTAGGCTGGAGGCCACCCCACTGATCACAGATGGCCGGGCTATGCTGGGGGCCACCCCACCAGTCATAGATCCCCATGCTAGGCTTGTAGCCACCCCACTGGTCACAGATGCCTGGGCTAGACTGGGAGCCACCCTACCAGTCACAGGTGGCTGGGTTAGGCTGGGGGCTAACGCACCGGTCATAGATGTCTGGGCTAGGTTGGGGGCAAACCCATGGGTCCCTGATGGCTGGGCTAGGCTGGGAGCTACCTCACCAGTCACAGATGGCTGGACTAGGTTTGTGGCTACCCCACCGGTTATATATGGCTGGGCGAGGCTGGGGTTCATCTGACTAGTCCAAGATTTCCGGTCCAGGCCGAGATTCACCTTACTACACACAGATGGCTCAGTTAGGCTAGGGATGACCTTACTAGCCATCGATAATTCAGATGGGCTGGTGGTGACCTTACTGACCACAGATGGCTGGCCTGGGTTTGGGGCCACCTTACTGACTACCAATGGCTGGGATAGGCTTGAGGTCAGCCTGGAGGCCACAGATGGCTGCTGATACATGGTGGGAACCACATTATCCAAGGACAAACTTCTGGTCAGTCCTGTCCTGTAGGATTTCTGGGGCAATGTTTCCGTCAGACCCATGGAGCTTTGGCCTGAGGACGCATCCCTCTCCTCCTGATCATCTGAGCCCCAGTGGACACTCAAGGTCATGCGGCCAGACACTGAACTATGGTGCAGAATCGGTATCAGCTCTGAGCCTGCAGAGGGCTGGGGGTAGAGGTTTGGAGACGTATGTCCCCCGCCTCCTCTCTTGGTTTTTTCCCTGTCTCTAGGCCCCTGGGGACTCTCCACAGCCTCGCCAGAGAGGAGGGTGTCGAAGCTGGCCTCCCAGGACTCCTCCTCCACCAGGTCCACGGCCGTCAGACTGGCCACAGACATAGTGGAGGGGCTGGGTGAGCTGCCGCTAGGCAACGAGCTCTGGGAATTACTCACATTTGGGCCATAGTCTGTGGAGCCCTGGGAGAGGCTTCCAGCCATGTCATTGTCGGGACTCTGGGCCAAACTGGCCACTTCATTGAGTATATGGCCAGTCCCTTGCTCCGGAGCGCAGCGTACCCCGGCACTGGCACCCAGGGTTCGAGTCCTCTCCTGCCTGGGGATGCCTGTGCGGGAAAGGGTGCGTGCTGACCTGCTCCCTGGGGAGGCTGGGAACATGCCAGCCTCCACCTGAGTCTTGAGTGCCCAGCGATGACCAGGAGCCATGGAGTGATGCAAGAGACCCAGGGTTGTGTCACCGGTCTTGGGGGTCTGGGGTTGGCCTAGGGATACTTTGCTCCCACTGGCACCCCTCAGTGCCCCTGGGGTGGCCTTGTTGATCCTCTCCCTAGTGTCTACGGAGGCCCGTTTATGATTTGGGGACTGAGTTTTCTGCATGGTCTCCTCTTGGAGCATGGATGGCTGTCGTCGAGCTTTGGTAGAAGCTCGGTACATGCTGGAGGGCACCTTGTTGACCCCGGGGTACTGACACCAACAAACAGATCCCCCATAGGCAGCGGCGCACTGGTGGGAGTGTGTGGCGCTCCCCCTACCCGCCGCCCCGACACGCGCACCCGAGGCCGCCCGGCCCTCCCCTGACGACGCCCACGGACGCGGGGCCACCCTGCTGACCGCATGTGGACTATGGGAGCTCCGGGCTGTGCCACCAGCCACCACCGACTGCTGGCTGGTGCTTGGGCCCACACCATTGGCAATAAGCGGCTGCCACAGACTGGGGGGCGGCTGTAGGTGGGGTGGCTTGGGTAAGCTGGGGCCCGTGTCACTTTCCACGGGGTTGAGATCTGATGCTAATTCACTGGGCCCTGGGGGCAGGCGCACGTTTTCCTCACTGACCGCAGGGTTCAGATGTAGGTCTGAGCCGCCACCCCTGCTGGGGTCCAGGGCAGCGATCAGTGGATGCTGATGAATGGCAGAGATCACTCTACTGGCCAAGGAGGCACCCACAGAGACTACCGGTGAGCAGGGTGACCCCCCGAACATGGCCCCATCCCCCATCTCTTCCAAGAAGCCGGCAGGCCAGCCTGTGAAGAAGCCCTCCCAGGCCCCGTCCTGGGGAACCCTGACCTTGCTGGGCTGTGGTCTCACGGGGCCTACGGCGGACCCCCACGCGGCCGCTGGGATCCCCCTGCAGTCCACCTCCACGGGGGCCGGAATCACAGACATCCTGCTTCCTGCTGTTTTCGAGGCAGCCTTGGGGAGGACGATGCCAGTCCTCAGGGCTGCCTGAGACAAAGACTGGCTGAGGACAGCACCCAGCTCCCCCTGACACAGGGCCTGGCTCAGAGCGGCCCACTCCTCCTCCGTCAGGGCCTTGCTGAGCACATCCGCCAGCTTACCCTGCTTGGCCTTGGTGAGTTCTGCCCGCAGCTCGCCAGGGGAGAGGGTGCGGGACAACGCAAGGCCCAGCTCGCCCCAGGAGAGCACTTTCATCAGCGCCGTTCCCAGCTTGCCCTGGGGCAGGGCCTTGGCCATCGTGGAGCCCAGGGCTTTCTTGGTCAGGGCCTGGTTCAGGGCTGCCCTCACTTGCCCCTGGGAGAGGGCTTTGGTCAATAGGGCGCGGAGGTCCTCCTCGGATCCCAGCTCAGCGGCCAGCTCGGCGCACAGGGAGGCGAGCTGGGAGGCAGCCAGCTCTTCTGGACAGGGTGTGGCTGGGCCGGGCATCGGTGACTGGGCCCGGGTGGCTCCACTGTCACCCCAGGATTCAATGTTACAGGTGGGGTGTCCAGCAGAGGCCACCAGAGGCACCAGCGTGCTCTGGGTCTCGCAGGGCCCCTGGCTTGGGCCCTGGGTGCCTTTGCCCTGCACATAGCTGTGGGGCTGGATCTGGGTCAGTCTGTCCTCTGGCTTGGCTCGGGGCAGATTGCCAAGGGCACCAGTATGCTTGCAGGGCTGAGTGGAGACCTTGAACCCAGCCAGGAGTGGCTGCGACTGGGTCTTGCCGCTGAGCTCGGCCGAGTGCTGGGCTGCGTAGAGGCACTTGGCTGTTTCTGTGACCAGCTGGGCCTGGGACTGCGCCTTGGTCAGCTCGGTGGACAGATGTGCTTTGGACTGGACCTTTATCACTCTGCTGGCCAGATGCGCCCGGGACTGCGCCTTGGTCAGACACGTGCCCAGATGTGCAAAGGACGGGGTCTTGGTTAGCTTGGTGGGCGGATGGGCCTGGGAAAGGGTCTTGGACAGGGTCTTGGACAGACACGTGCCCAGGTGCGCCTGGGGCAGAGCTGCTGTCAGTTGGGACGAGGCTGTGGTCGCACAGGTGGCCAGCTGCTCCTGGGGCAGCCCTTTGGCCACACAGGTCTCCAGATGTGTCTGGGGTGGGACCTTGGTCGGACACGGGGCCAGCTGTGCCCGGGGCAGAACCACGGCCGTTTCCATGGGCACGTACACCTGGGGCTGAACCTTCACAACGTCTGTCCTCGGGCATGTCTGTAACGAGGACTTGTTCCTGTCCTCGGCCATTTTCACCCAGGGGGATGCCCGGGACATTTCGATGGCCACACTGGAACTGGACCCTGTTTCTATTTTCACCTGCTTCTGGGAAAAGGCCTTCATTCTTTCAGCTTCCAAAGGAGGCCTGGCTGGAGCCTTGGGGGACCCAGCCCCCAGATGTGGTGCATTAAAGTATTTGACCTTTCCCTCAGCCAGGTAGGAGTGAGAAGAGACCCGGACCATCCCGGCGGTCTGCTTGGCGTTCACCGTAGCCTTGGCCTTCGGTCCGCTCAGACACGTGCGGGATGAGGCGTTGGGAATCCCAGCTGCCACAGTTGCCGGAGGTGAAGACTTCAGATTTCCAGCTGCTGAAGGTGGCAGGCACAGGGTCTTGAGGATGGCGGCCATGGAGCGAAGTTGGGCTGGGGTTTTGGTGACCATGGCTGCCAGACGCGTCTGGGGAGGGGTCTTGGTCATGGAGGTCCCTGGGAGCATCTGAGATGGAGTCTTGGCCATGGCAGCGGCTGGACATGTCTGCAGTGGGGTCTTGGTCATCGGGGCTGCCGGGCGCATCTGGGCTGGAGTCTTGGCCATGGCGGGCACTGGGCACGTCTGGGGTGGAGCCTTGCCCATGGTGGCCACAGGCCGTGTCTGGGTTGGGGGCTTGATCATAGAGGCCAAAAGGCATATCTGTGGTGAGATCTTGGCCATCATGGCTGCTGGTCGTGTCTGGGGTGAAGCGTTGGTCATTGAGGCTGTGGGTCGCATCTGGGTGGGGGTCTTGGACATGGGAGCTACTGGGCATGGCTGGGTTGGGGTCTTGTTCGCCCTGCCCCCCAGGCCAGACTGAAGTGGGGTCTTGGTCATGGTGGCTGGCTGGGATGTCTGGGGTGAAGCCTTGACTATCGCAGCCACCGGGCACGTCTGGGGTGGGCTCTTGGCCATTGGGGCCACTGGGTAAGTCTGGGGTAGGGCCTTGGTTATCATTACTGTGGGCGTGGAGCACGGCGGCGGCAGGGTCTTGCTCATCATGGCCACCAGGCACGACTGGAGTGGGCTTTTGGGCATTGCAACAGCAGGATATGGCTGGGGTGGGGTCTTGGTCACAGCAGCCGCTGGGTTCATCTGGGTTGGGGTCTTGGTCATCGGGGCTGCTGGGTATACCTGGGGTGGGGTCTTGGCTATTGTCACCATGGGCGCCACACATGGCTGGGGCGGGGTCTTGGTCATCGTGGTCGCCGGATACATCTGGGGCGCGGTCTTGTTTATCACAAGGGCTGGGCCTGTCTGGGGTGGGGTTTTGAGGACCTCTGTCTCCACGTGGCCCTGGGTCTGGGTCTTGAGGGACCCGTGAACTGCCTGGGCATACCTCCCACATGGGGGCGGCCCCGGGGCTCCTGTCTTGTTGGCTCTGGTGGTTACTTGCTTGGTCTTCACCATGTCCCCTTCTACATGGACAAGGCAAGCATTTCTGACGGTTCTCGTCATCAGGCACGGGTGGCACTTTGCGTCTAGATTCACCGGACATGGCAGTCTGATGGCAATGGTCTGGTGGGGCAGGAAGGTGACGCTGGGTCCCCCAGTGGAGCCAGGTGCCTGCATGCCAGGCTGGGGACCACCCTGGGCCTGGAGCAGGGCCAGCTGGTGGGTGCAGGTGTCCAGGCTGTCGGAGGAAGGGAACTGGGTCTCCTTGCTCACCATGACGGGCTGGGCCACAGGAGGCTTGACCTCTCCTGGAGGCTGGAACCGCACCTGCTGGGGGGCGTGGTAAGGGATGTCACCCTCATCCACACTCACTTTCTTTCCCACGGGCTTGCCAGAATGGAGGAGCCGCCTGGTGTTGAAGCGTCGCCAGGCCTCCTGGATGGCCTTTGCTGCCTTCATCTGGGAGATCAGCTTCTGCCGGAGCCGGTAGCCCCTCCAGTTGGCTTGGATGAGGGTGGCCGCCCGGGACAGCATCATGTCCATCTCGTCCACCAGCACATTCTTAAAGGCCTGGCTCTCAACCACAGCCCGCAGACGTGGGATGTGACGAGGTACCGTCACATCCTTGTCATGCTGTTGCAGAAGGGTCTCCCTGGACGCAACTGGCTCATGCTGAGGCTGCGGACTCAGTGTCCCTGCTTTGTCTTGGAGACTGGAGACGGACTGGGGCTGGTAGAGGCTCTGCCCATCCGGTGACGACGGTAGCTGTGCTGCTTCCTGCATTGTCTTGGTTCCTGGGCGAGTCAGCTCTGTCTGCAGGGGTGGCATAGAGGGGGACAAAGAGGGGGATCGTACAAACGAGAGGGCTCCTGGCTGGAGCAAGTGCTCTGGGGACCTACAGCTCCTCGTTCCTGATGCCTTGAAATCTTCCTCCTCACCTTTACAGGACCCGCCCTCTCCCAGCCACTTGTCCAGGTGGCCTTCGGCACCTATGTCTCCCTCATGATCCTGTGGCCACTTAGACACTGGCAACAGTGCGCCTTCTCAGCTGAATGGCCAACCACCTTCTTTTTGAATTTCCTTTGTATCTGGAGTGTACTGTGAATATAGCACTGATCGCACTATTTGGGAAATTTCCTATTTGTGTGTGTGTGTGCACGCGCGCGTGTGCATGTGTGCCTCTCCCCATCTACTGTGGTCTCCTAGAGGGCAAGAACCAGGTCTGAGTCATTTCCTTGTCCCCCTCTCAGTCATAGGGCCTGGTTCCGGGCTGGGAACAGGTGCGTGCTGGGTGGGAGGCTAACTTCATAAATGTGTGGCCGAGCTGGGTGGATAGATGGATGAATGACTAGATAGTGAATGGATAAATCTGGATAAAGGAATGCTAGATGGGTTGGAAAGATGGGTAAAGGACCGTGTGGAAGACTAAGTAGGGAGATGGGGCTGATGAATGAATTGATGAGCAGATCATTGAATAAGGAAATGGACACACGGATGGATGGATGGATGGATGGATGGATGGATCAATGAATGAATGAGTGGATGGATGTAGGGGAGGGAGGGGGATGGAGGGAGGAATGAATGGATGGACAGACAAGTGAGTAGAGGACGGACGAGATCTGAGTCGATAAAGGAGTGTGTGAATGGAGAGGGCTGAAGGAATTGGTGTAGAGACCAATGAATGATTGACGTGTGCTGGATGATCCATGCATGGATGGTGGAGGACTGACAGACGATGGGTACATCACTGGCAGATGGATGGGTAGATGAATGAGGGAGCGACTCTGGTTTCTAGAAGCACCTTGGTACAGAGGGAACTGGGATACTGCCAAACAGCCCTGATATGTCACCTGGAGCATGTTTGTTGGGCAGAAGCCCCACCCCCACCCTCTTTCTGGCTGAAACAGCCGATTCCTTTCCCAGATATCTTCATACCTTGGAGGGCCATAGAGTTGGAGGAGGAGCAGGAGGAGAACGTACAATCTCAGAGGCCAGCTTGCAAGAGGAAGCAGCCTTCATTCAGCCCTTCATCCCATGCAACATGCAGCAAAACTGCCCTTGACTGGCTCTGTCCTCAAGACCAACGGGAGAAGAGATGTTAAGAGAGAAACAAAAACAAGGACAAAAAAACCCAAAAACATCTCAAAAACTAAAAACTTTTAAGTCCACAAAGGTGAATGTACAAAGAAGTTTACACTTGTGTTCTTTTGTACGTAAAAGCAAAACAACTAGAAATCACCGGAAAGGTGATTGCTAGGGGACCAGTTATAAGTGCTTAAAGGAGGATGTTCAAAGATGTTCATCACTGTACTGCTTATGAAGAGTAAAAACTGAAAACGACTCAAATGCACAGTGGCTTAAATTAAACAGAACATTCATACAATGGTGTGCTATCCAGCCATTAGAATTGGTGTCCAGATCCACAAAAATGGTTGAAATTGAAAAGTGGACACATCATGGCCACCTGGGGAAATTGTCGCTATCTTAGAGGCAACTTGTTTATTCCACCCTGATATCTACATTCAAGAGGTACAAGTGTTGGTACTCACCCCAAACCAGAAACCATCCAAATGCCCACTGACGGAAGATCTAAATTCAACCACATCAGTGACTGATGTGCTAATAGACTAAATACTTCAAGACAAAGATGATCAAAATAGATTTGTTTTCAAAGACCCATGTGCTGCCTCCTTTCACAATAAGTGTTCTAGCTTCACCTACGTGACGGCCTGAATGTCCTGCCCTGCCTCGTCTTCACCCCAAACCCCAAATGGGCTGGGCTCATTCAGAACAAGAATCAGTGTGAACTGAATCATAACAGCAAATGGGTCTGAGGCTGGTTCTCCTGGAGGTAGGCAGTCATTGTCCCCCTTTCACAGAGGAGGAACCTGAGGCCCAGAGAAGCCACATTTCATATTTCTTACTTTTTTTTAAGATTTTTTTTAAAGATTGTATTTATTTATTTGACAGAGAGAAATCACAAGTAAGCAGAGAGGCAGGCACAGAGAGAGAGGAGGAAGCAGGCTCTCCACTGAGCAGAGATCCCAATGTGGGCCTCGATCCCAGGACCCTGAGATCATGACCTGAGCCGAAGCAGAGGCTTTAACCCACTGAGCCACTCAGGAACCCCCTTTTTTAAGATTTTATTTATTTATTTGACAGAGATCACAAGTAGGCAGAGCAGAAGGCAGAGAGAGAGAGGGGAAAAGCAGGCTCCTGACTGAGCAGAGAGGCTAACGCGGGACTTGATCCCAGGAGCCTGGGATCATGACCTGAGCTGAAGGCAGAGGCTTTAACCCACTGAGCCACCCAGATGCCCCTATTTCTTTAAGTTATTTCTGATTTGTCTCCCCCACTGAACTACGGTAGGACATGGGTAGGGATGTCCGTGTCTTTTGTTTGCTGTACAACCTCCAGTGCCTAAAACAGTACACACAATAGACGTTCAATAGATGTTTATTGGTAGATGCGTGGGTGGATGGATGAGTGGACAGATGGATGGACGGATAGTTGGATGAGTACCATCCAAGCTTCAGATCTTAGAGAGAACAGCTTCAGGATCTGAAGTGGCCTATCCCGGACTCTGCGGTTTCACCAACCACATAATTCAGCCCTTTCAATGAACTCAACCAGAATGAGTGAACAGACAGCAGAGTGAGAGGAATGTGATTACGGGGGACAGGAAAAAGGAATAGGGGCCCCCAGACATGTAAGCCAAGTGGCTGGCTTGGCAATTTTGAGTAAAGCCCTCTGAGTCTCAGTTTCCTTGTCACAAAAGCTAAGACCACTTTCCCAGCCTCCCAAGGAAACATCCTAGGTGCCCCAGGCTGGGATCCCAGATGGACAAACACACCATCAGGTTTTGGGGAGCCCCAAATGCCCCTGCTCTGAGGGGTTGAGAAGCTGACCCACTCCTTGAAGTGTCCTGGAGGGCCCAAGGGGGCTCTGAGGATGATGGGGGCCAGAGGAGAACAACCCAGTCTCCGTGTACCCCCCACCGAACCCTCCACCAGTCCCACTCACCTGCCCCTGAAGCTGAACCCACCAGCCCGAATGGCCAGCCTTGGGGCCCTGGTGCCACAATGGCTTTGTGACTCACAGCCAAGTTCCAGCCAATCCCTATCAGCTACTGGGGGAAGGGGGTTCTAGAAGGCTGACCCAACATGGGGGCAGGGCCTAGATCAGTGCTGACCGTCATGGCGGTTGCTTCCTACTACCTGCCTGTCCTGAACAGAAAATTAGGGCTCTGAGCAGAGAGGGGGCCCCAAATTCTTCCCCTACATGTGTCTCAAGGTATTTGTTGAACACCTCACTTTTTGTTTTTGTCTTTTTTTAAAGATTTTTCTTTTAAGTAATCTCTACGCTCAACGTGGGGCTTGAACTTACAGCTGCACAATGCAGAGTCATGTGCTCTGCTGACTGAACCTGCCGGGTGCCTCTGAACACCTAACTTGGTAATGGGACCTGATCTGGACCTGGGGACACACACAACTCAAATAATTTGGGGGTGTGAAATGGCTAGGCAGGAATCAAAGAAGGGGTAGACGGGCTGAGTTCCATAGGAGGAGAAGGAGAGTCATAGGAGAGCTGGGGGAGGGACATCCCGGGTGGAGGACACAGCACCGGCAAAGGGCCCAAGGTGAGAGGAAGCTGGGCACGATTAGGGGATGTGGAGGCTGGTGTGGTTGGAGGCAAGGGACAAGAGGGCCAGGAGGCAGAGTACTGAATAGGTGGGACCTCAGAGAGGTCCCAAGAGCTTGGGTTTTGTGGCTCCTGGGTGGCTCTGTCATTAAGCACCTGCCTTGGTCTCAGGTCATGATCCCAGCCAGGGTCCTGGGATCGAGCCCAGCATCGGGCCCCCTGCACGGTGAGCCTGCTTCTCCCTCTCCCTCTGCCTGCCACTCCCCCTGCTGTGTTTTCCAAATAAAAATCTAAAAAAAAAAAAAAAAAAAAAAGTGTGGGTTTTATCAAGAAGGCACTGGGGGAGCCATGAGAGGGTCCAGAGCAAAAGACACATAGTTTGTACTCTGATTCGCATCCTAAAAGTCCAGGCGGGTATCTGTGTCTGGCCCTGAGGATGGGGGCTCCTGAGGGTGGGGCTGGGCCCAAAGTCCCTTGGGATCCCCATATGGGCCTGGCAATAGTAGGTATCAACTCTGAGCCACAGTCCTTAAGGGGAAAGTGAGGCCACCACTCTCATCCACCTCCTGGGGCTGGGCTGATGCCTGATATGAATCACTGCTGGCCAGGATGGAGCTGACACACTTCTTGGCCTCAGTTCATCAGGGTCCTGCCAAAGCCATACCACCTGGCCCGCAGCCTCAGCCTCGCTTCCCTGGGGAGCCACTGGGAGGCACCAGAGCAAGAGGCCGGCAAGCAGAGACACCCAGCCTCACTGGGCAGAGATCCCCTCATCTTCTCCACGCTGTGGCTGTAGCTCTGGGCAAAATCAGAGACATGACAGTTGGACAGGACTTATGTCCTTGGTTTCAGCAATGACCAGGACAGCTCCCATTCATGCCCTCGAGCTAAACACAAATCCAGAGTGGGTTAGGGCAATAATGATGGAACCACAGGGTATTCTGGGAACGCAATAAGACCCAGCCCAGGGGTTACTGGGGACCAGGAGGGCAAAAGCACCTGAGTTTGAGGGAAGATCAGCTGGGTAGTTGAGAGAAGAAGTGTTATCAGGGTTGTAGCCATGCAAAGGCCCTGAGGCCAAAGGGGAAGGAAGTAGAGTTCGGGTAGGGAGGTGCCTGGAGCGACAATGATCTTTCCAGGGCCAGATGCACCCAAGGACTTTTTTCCATAAAGGTTTCAAGTAGGGAGTCAGATCTGTGGTTTCCAAAAAGCCCCATGTCACATGCTAGTGAAAACATAGGGCCTCCACTTAGACCCAAGTCTCCTGGTCTTTTTTTTTTTTTTTTCCCTGAAGATTGATTTATTTGAGAGGAAGCACATGTGAGAGTTAGCACAAGTAGGAGAGACAGGGGGAGAGGGAGAGAGACTCCCAAGCAAACTCTGAGTACAGAACCCAGTGTGGGGTTCCATCTCCCAGCCCTGAGATCATGACCTGAGCCGAAACCCAGCTGGCTGCCTAACCAACTGAGCCACCCAGGCGCCCTGGTAAATATCTTTTCTATACTTATGAGTGGTGGCTGGGGACCAGCAGACAGCTTCAGGATAGGGGCTGGTCCCCAGAAAGACAGAGGGATTAGAGGGTTGGAGGTTTCAGCCATACCTCCCAGACCTCCTGAGTGAGAAGAGGGACTGGAGATTAAACCAATCACCAAAGACCAGTGAGTTAACCAATCACACCTATGGAATGAAACCAGCTAGGGTCGGAGAGCTTCTCAGTTGATGAAAACATGGATAGACTGGGAGCGTGGCCCACCCAGACGGGGCATGGAGGTCCAATGCCCCTTCCACTGTACCTTGCCCTCCCTCTGTGTCTCCTCCACCTAACTGTACCTGAGTTGTAGCCTTTATAAGCCAGTAATACGGGGGCCTGGGTGGCTCAGTTGGTTAAGCATCTGCCTTCAGCTCAGATCCTCATCGGGCTCTCTGCTCAGCAGGCAGACTGCTTCTCCCTCTCTCTCTGCCCCTTCCCACCACTCATGCTCTCTTTCCCTGTCTCAAATAAATAAATTAATTAAATCTTGAAAGTAAATAAATAAACCAATAATAGTAAATAAAACACTTTCCTAGTTTCTGTGAGTGGTTCTAAATTATCAAGACTGGCGTGGGGGTTGAGGAAATCCTTGGTTTAGGGCTTACTGTCCCAAAACCCAGGTGGCAACCGGAGACTTCCAAATGGCATTGAAGTGGGGGTGGTGTTGTGGGACTAAGAACCCCCCGCCTGTAGGGTCTGTGCTAACTCCAGGTAGTGTCAGAACTGAATTATAGGACACCTGGGTGATGTCTAGAATTCAGAACCGGTGAGTGTGGGGAAATCGTCCCCCCACAACACAGTTGGCATCAGGATTATGAATAAAACGGTTTGGGGGCCCTGATGCAGATCTTCCGACCTCCTGGGCCTCTCCCCTTCTCTGTAGGTTGGGGGTGCACGGAGAGCCCTTCAGTATCATTATTACTCATTCACCAAACTGATGTGGGAGATGTTGTTACCTGGACATGAACCTACCCATTTCATAGCATAGGAGGTAGAAGGGGGAGAGGGGAGAGGGCTGGACTGAGGTTACACGGTGGCAACTTGGCACCCAAGCTGAGACTCAGACTTCTGAAGAGTGAAGCTGTGGTCCCAAAGCCTGGTTCGTGGTCTCCTGTGTCAAGACACCCTCAACTCGGCTTCGGCCTGGCACTGCTGGGAACCTCCCAAAACGTCAGTGTGAGGGCGGTACAAGGTGAGGTCATGCTGTCAAAAACCAAACCCCAAAGCAGCTCTCAAAGCCTTGAAATGTAGGCAGCCAGGGTGATCAGGAGGAAGAGGAAACAGGTAGGTGGTGAGGCCCCACCAATGGCAAGAGGGACGGTGGGCATGTGCTGTTCCTTCTTTGCACCTCTGTTCCCCCATCTGTAAGACAGGCACAATTCACCTGCCTTCCTTAACAGGGCTGGGTATACAGCTGGTGCTCAACACATGCGCACTAGCTCGACTTGCCCTGTGTCCTTGACCACCGATGCTTAGGTCCCTCCTGGCACCAAGTAAGACAGAGACCCAAGGCCTGGGTTCTTTTGCCCACAAAACTGCAAAGGTCAGGGTAGGCAGGGGATGAAGGCAGCCCAGAGGTCAAGGCTCTGGAGGTGAACAGCCTAAGGTCCAAATATTCCTGCAAACTCCTAAAAATTTCAGGCTCTGTCACCTCTGATCACTCAACCTCTCTGAACAGGAGTTTCCTCAAAATGGAAGACTAGGATGTTGGGAAGGGAGAGGTCTTCAGGGAGTACTTGGGAAATCCTGATTCCGAGTGAATACCTAGGGAAGGTCCCATGGAGCGTAGCTACACCACCCCTACTGGAGGAAGACTGCTCCAGTCAGACCCCACCTGGGCCCCGTTCCTCTGGTCCTGAGACTCAGAAGCCCCAGTCCGCCCAACAATAATAGAAGCTTACGCTGAGCACCAACTGTAGGCCAAGCGCGGCTCTGGAACAAACTGTTAATCCTCCAACTTTTCGGGGCAAGCTTACAACTGTTCTGCCCATTTTAGACAGGGTAAGTGATGCCCAGAGGTTCAAGTTTCTGCCTTTTCCTACCCGTCTGGGGCTGGGCTATGCTCTTTCCATCTTGTAGTCTATCTGTCCTAAAGGGGACACCCGTGGGCTCGCTAGTTCCAAACGCTGGTTGGAGATCCTAGTATCCCTCACCTAACCTGGACATCGGTGGGCCCCAAGCCCGGGAGCGCCTAGATGGCGCTCGTTGAGCGCCAGATGTTCGGAGCCCCTCCCGTACTCCGGCTCTCCTCCTCCGAGCACAGGCAGAGGGAGGAGGGGCAAGGAGGCAAGGGAGGGGGGAGGGGAGCGTGTGAGCCAGGCCCTGCCCAGCTCATCAGGCCCTGGCGGGGGAAGAAGGAGGCAGAGAGCCGAGCTGGCGTAACGAGACTTTACTGAAAACAGAAAACCGGGCGAACCAAGGATTACAAACAGGAATGTGGACTCGTAGCAAAACAAAACAAAACAACAGAACAAAAAGGGCGGGAGGAGGGATGTCGGAAGGACGGAAGGGGGGGGGGGGTGAGCAAGAGCGAGGAAAGGGAAGGGAGGTTTTTTTTTTTTTTCTTCTTCCCATTTCTTTAAAAAACCAACACAAGAAAAAACACACACACACAACCAACGTTTGTTCCCAAGTAGAAACATAAATAGGGCAGAATCGAACACTCTGTTCTTCTCTCTTCCAAAGGCAAAAAAAAAAAAAAAAAAAA